GTCTGGAGAGTTTTCTGCTGGTCCAGACAGTGAATTAGCGCATCTCTCAGGTCCACATTCACTGTCTCAAGTTCGTTCACACGTTGTTCTGCTTCAGTTAGCCTAGTGGCGTGATTACGAATATCCACGATGGCATCTTGTAGCTTCTGATTCATCTCAGCCTTTAGGTTATTCAGATCTTCTTTGATTTCTTTCCTCATCTCTCGGATGTTATCGCTCAAATTTTGTATTGCTTTAGCCATTGTTAGCTCGTTTTCCTCACTTTGTTCCGTGCTCCTCTTCATGCTAGCTCCGTCGCCGTCGTCCTGTAAGGTGTCTTTTGCCTCTCCGTAACTTTTGGAGCCCCCCTGTGTCTTTTTACATCTGCCTCCACGCATTGTATATCATCGTCAGTATGAATACGTTTATTGTATCGAGTTTGTGGAGTTTTCCTCACTTATGATCAGGAGCGGACAAAAAGTTAATCCGCCATCTTGGAGTGCTCACCGGAAGTCTCCTCTTCTTTTTCTTTTTCATTTCCGCAGCTCTGTCTGAATCTCCATCAGAACTTCTACGGGATGATAGAGAACCAATGACATTGTTTAACAAAACCGAGATCAAGCTTTACGGCCAGCCTAAGACAGAAAAAGTGACCCATTATCAATAAAATGAAGAAAACCATATCCCCTTCGCTCATGGTCAATGTCCTCTCTTGACCGGTAGCGGTAGTAATGGTAATGGTTAGAGCACCTGTCACAATCACGCTCCCGAGGGTGCTGGAAGGTTCGCTCCCGGTGACGATCAGCCTCCCATTCCCTGTAGTAACGTCCAGAAAGGGGGAAACGATCCCTGTACTGGCGGTGGTGACCGTCTTTGTAGTCCCGTCTGTACCGGTGACGATCGTTGTCGCTTTCTCGTTCGTGACTCCTATCCCTGTAGTGTCTTTCTCTATCTCTTCCAGAGCTAGAGTACAGCCGTTCCCTGTCTCGGGAAGATCATTTTTCATTGCAACTAGAACTAGGATTGGACTGATACTGCTCCTTAGTATCCTTACGTCCTTCAGTCCCTGTTGTTGCACATTTATCTTGTGGTAGATCCTTGGCTTCATCCTTGCTTACGCTAACTTTCTGTGGAGCTGCAGAAGCTCCACTGGTGCTTTGAGAGCAGCCCGGCTGAGGGGGTAAGGCTGCAGGGTTGCCATCTTGCCCAGAAGAAGAAAGAGCGG